GTTGTGTTCAGCTGTGCGTTATCCAAGCCCAAGCTCGTTGAGTTGTTTGCGTTGTTATCCGTTTATTCCTGAAATATACCTTAACCACTTAAACTAGGAATTCCTAATAGGAATCCCGGTCCTGTCCTGGACTGATCAACTTGTTTTATTTATCCAACACTCGACACCAAATTATATTGGAGACTCTGTCCTCAATAAAATATAAAGAAGAAAAAAGAAAACTTGAGCCATTAAAGTCTCCATAAAAAAAAATTCCAGTCATTTTCTCTATTACTGCATTATATTTTTTTCCAAAGTACAGAAAAAAATATAAATAAAATCCACAACAGCAACAACAACAAAAAACAAAAAACCCCCACTGACCTGAGGGATGTGAAAACCGAGGTCGGACCCGTCTACTGAAGTTGGATGACACCTTTCTAAAGTAGCCCTTGACCAGCATGGGGACATATCTTCCGGGTTCTGTTCGAGACAAACTCCGTTCTGACATCCGGCACTGGAACAACTTGTACACCGGCTCTGTACTTCCTAAGAATTCAAAAAAAAAATTAGAAAATACAAAATTAAAAAGGGGGTTCATCACTTTCATCAAGTATTTTGTCTCTTCTTCAAGTCTTCTTGGATGGACATAATTTACATAGAATATTCTCAGACCCTTAACAAAATAATGCTCAATTTATTCATTTATTCTCAGCAAAAAAAAAATTGGTTTCATAAAAGTTTGAAAAATTCAAAAATTTCATAAAGATTCCTGCAAAAAAAATTTAAAAAGGGTTCATGACTGCATCAAGTCTTCTGCATTTTCTTCCTCAAGTTTCCTTGGATGAACATACTTTTTCACAGAATATTCCCTGATCCTTTTGAGTATTTCTTAATTTATTCTCAAAAAGCCAAATACTGTATTTGTTTCACATCATGAGGAAAATGAAAGAAATTTATGAATATACCATCCATTATACAAAAAAGGAATTTATTCCAGTCTAATGCCTTTCCTGATGATGGACATAACTTTCACAGAATATAAACAGGTCCTTTATACTATTATAGATCCATGTCCACACAAAAAATTTAAATTGACTGGACAAAGAAGACTTTGAAAATGTGGGGAACTACAGGTTCACAAGCCACAACTCACATGTTCAATGAACCATATTTTTTCCATATCTTTTGGAAAACAAAAAAAATTTCTTGAAGATTAATCCCAAAAGAAGATTAAAAAAGGTTTCATAAATATGAAGTAATATAAATTCTTTTGTTATTCAATTTTCCTTGGATGGACATAATTCTCACAAAATATTTCTCTGGTCTTTTCTTGATAAATTCTCAATTTCATAATTTTTCTCACATAAAATTTACATTTAAAAATGCCATGGAAATGAGATAAGATAAAGATCCACATGCCATAACTGCATAACTCACATTTTTAATGAATTTTGAAAGTTTTGAAAGATTCACCATCTGGAAAACTTTAAAAGTTTCTTTAATCATTTCCCCCCAAAAATGGATTGTCTGGGTCTTCATAATTTCTTAATTACAATAATGCTGAATGTGAAACTTATCCTAAAATGCCTATTAAAACCTAATCACATCAGATTTGCAATTGAAAAAAAAACCTCTCCTATTCATGCAAATGAACCAAAGGAATTTTGCAACATTTTTACACTTATTTTCAAGAACCATATGACTCAGAAATCTGAGAACTTCTGAAACTTAAATTACAAAAACTGACAAAGCTAAATTGAAACTTCCAAGAAGACAAGTACAAAAACAAAACAAAACCAACTCACCATCTTCTGGCAGTTTGAGGTAAGAATGCACCTTCTCCTGGTCCTTTGGGTGCACTAGGAAGTCTATGGGCTGCCCCATCAGGTCATACTGTAAAAAAAAA